TATATGTATAGCAAGAGTTAGGACACATATCTGTCCATACAGGTCTAATATTTACAAGTGATTTCAATTTTTTTTTAGAATTACCTATCCATTACAGTATCTGTACAATATGTCATGCACATATTTATGCATTATGGATTACACAAAACCACTTTCAAAAATGGCACAAAATCCTTAACTAAGTTAATTGGCAAGCTATCTGACTATATATCAATAATAATTAAAAAATCTCAAACTTCTAGCATAGCTTTTAGTTCTCTACTCTTAAATTCTTTAGAATCAAAATTCTACTAAATGATCTTTCTACTTTACACATTTTACACAAATGATATCACTCACACTCACCTACCTGTCACCAATGTTATCAAATTAGTTCTCATCTCTACTAGACAATCTGTCCATTTAATCAATTGCTATACAACCTTATAGATATTTTATTACAATATACTTTAAATACTAAAACATTTGACACCACTTTAAATATTATAACCAATTTATATAACCAAATTAAGCTATTGAATAGTATAACTATTCACAACATACCAGATTTATCTTTAATTTTTTCAACCCTAATAGGTCTAATACTAAATGAACTTATTAACATTATTGCAAATCTGTTATCCAAAAAAGTAGCTACAACACTTGTTAACAAGTTTTTACTTTATCTTAACCAACAAATTTACTACAAAATCTGGATCCTATATTGTATCTTAAGATCTACAGCTCAAACTTCTGAATATAACATACCTTCAAATGCTGTTTCACTTTTATCACATTCTCTCCTACTCAATTTTATTAGTTCAAAAATAAACTTCTAGTATATCTAATAGATTAAATATCAAACTAATCCCCTATACATAATTATTAACACTCAAATCTAGATGAGTCTTAGTTACTTCAGTTGGTTTAGGTTGCAGATAAATTAGTCTAAGCTTCTATTTTTTCTATAATATTTTAAAAACAGAATTATACTTTATGTAAAATCTCAATTAAATATTCAATAAAGATAGAGGCATGGCCTCATCATTAATATTAAAAAAAATCAAAAAAAAATCATTTTTCTAAACAATAATCAAAAATTCTATATATTTTATCTTAAAATAATTAATAACAACCTACCTACTATATAAATCTTAATTTATGATATTTTTTCTTATATATTACTCCAAATTGTATCTATTGTCAAACTTTTAAAAATATATTACATCTTCTTATATGTCCTAAACAAAAATATAATTTTTACCAAATTCTTTAAACTTTAATTTCAAATATTATTTAATAATAAATATCTCTTCTGAACTTACAAATAAAATCTATATTATTTTGTTATAACAATCAAATACTCTATTACACTCTTATTTTCTTAATCTTATTTAAGATCTTTTCTCTATATTTCAATATGTTAATGTTAAAATATTACTTTATAAAACAACATCACAAATGCTTCTCTTAATTAGTTTTATTATTATATATGGCTACTATGCAACATTTTTCAATAACAATAAAAAAAAGTTTGCAATATAACTAATAAATCTAAATATTCAAAAATAACTAACAAATCTAAATATTTAAAAATAATTAACAAATCTAAATGTTCAAAAATATATTTCTTAACTCTACCTCTGTAATCTAATTTTAAAACTACTAATACACCTACTATAAACCAAACTATATTTATTAATAACTAGTTAATATTAGGTTACATATTTACTAATTGTATTTACTAAATACCAAGACTATCACCTTAGATTTCTTTCAACCTTTCTATGTTTAAAATTAATTTAAAATAATTAATAATAGTGTTATATAGAAATGGAGATGTATTGTTACATTTGGTATTATAAATAAGTAATACAAATATAGTTTAGAAATATTTAATATAATTATTTTTATTATCTAATAAAGTTTCTACTTTGATATTTCAAAAAAAAATAAGCAAATAATATTACATAATTTACAATTAATATTTTTTAATAAAAATAATATTAAATTAATAAATAACTAATTAATATATAAAAAAATATTTTAAGACCTTATTTATTTTAAATAAAAAAAGTAATAATTTTTATAAATAATTTTTTTAATAATAAATAAATAATAATATTATTATATACAAATTATTAAAACTATACTGCAAAATTTTATTATTACAAATAACCTTATCATTAATATTTAAAAAAAATTTTTTTATTATTACAAATTACTTATATATCTTAAGTAAAAAATAATTCTAATATTATTTTAAATTGATTTATGCAAAAAAGTTTATTTGAAACAATTGTTTTTTTTCAGCATCTAACTTATATATATAATTTATTCAATTAATATGCCAATATGTAGGAAAATATCTTATATACAGTAGCCAACAAAAGTAACACTTGATGTTCATTTTTATAGTAAAACATATAAAAAATTAAAATTTATATAATCGTAAAAATCAATATTCTTTTTATTTTAAAATTTTTTTTTAATTTAATTCATAATTTAATATTAATATCCTATAATATGTATGTTTCATTGAGTTGAACAAATTGAGATTTATTTTTTAAAAAATTATGAAGTTTATGATTCAAAATGTCATATGTAAAACATATAAAAGTTGTAAATTTGACTTTAAAATTAAAAATAAAATTTAAAAAAATTGATTTAAAAAAATTATCAAATTATTAAAATATGTTATTATATTTTAAGGACAATGTAAAATAAAAAAATTATTTTATAAAAAAATATAAGTTTTAATATAACATAACACTTACAATTAAATTTTATAACATTTATATAGTAAAAACATAGTAAAAACTTAAAATTTTAAATTCATTAAAAATCCAAAGTTTTAATAAAAAAAATATTTTGTAATTTATCGATTAGAAAATTTGATATTTATATTTTCACCGAATCGAAAAAAACCCGATTTTTTTTTGTTTTGATAACAAAATTTCCTAAAAAGGATTTTATATGTAATTTACTATAAAATTGATCATCGGACATTACTTTTGTTTAAAAACCTACATGAATGAAGTTTTATAACCTTTCACAATTTATAGTCAAAAACCTGCATTTATTTACAATGTTATAATCGAAGAGCTTGTTATGTAGCATAATAAAAATTTATAAATACAAATTTGCAATCTAAATAGTAAGTACATTCCTCTTGTTAAATTATAAATAATATTTAATGTGATCCTTTCTAATGTCATTCTCGTGATTTTAACCTTTAAACACAGCCAATTGTGGTACTTCTTCAATAAGATCATTATTAGAGATTAAACTATCAATAAATCCTCTTGTAGGTCCATACATAAGTTTACTCCATGTTTCTTTATGCTGATTTATACCATTTTCATTATCATTTTTTTGATTTTGAAATTTTGGTAATATATATTCAATAAAGACTTCATAAATACCCTTCCCACCGATCTTAGTTGATGCATTAGACTGAATGTTCCAAGTGATTAATACGAATAAAGTCATTATACCTAAAGCTTGTCCTTGTACATACAAGGTAACCTTTTTGTCAAGTACACGAACAAGCACTTCCGAAAAAAAGATATAAATGAGATTGTTTGGATGAAGATGTGCATTCCATGTGTAACACAAAGGGATTGTAATTAATGAGGCACCAAGTTCGGCTAAAAATTGTAATAATATTAATTATTTTATATCAAATAAATTAAACTAAAATAAATAATAAAAATAATAATTACCAGCTCGGTAGCCAACACCTTTTTGACTAGTATTAAGTATATCCTAATAAACCATTTTTAAATCAATAATTGTTAGACCATAAAAAATTGTCATAAAAAGAAAAAAACGTAAAGATAGTTAAACAACCTCTACAATCAAATCAACAAAGATTTTCGGTCCATGAATTTCTAAACATGATCGAAACAAACTAATATCTAAATGATGTGGTCCCCACCATGACAGATTTAAGGATAAGTCCGTCTGAGGAGATTCAATATCATATTCAATATTCATATTGTCCGGTGTGGATTTTCGTTGACGTCCACCATAGACAATAGATTTAAACATTATCCAAAAACGCGAAAAAAGTGTCTCAGGTGAATGTTTTGAGGATGATAATACTGAATTCACATTTTTGATGTATTAGCCATTAAAAATACGATATGTTAAAAATAATTACTTATATACAGGGAATTACCTGGTTCATTACTTGCAGCGGCAAGTTTTAGTCTAATATCAGTCTCATTATCTTCCACAGATGGTAAACTACCTGATGAATTATCTAAAATGTTCATCACTTTGTTTGCTACTAATCTCGAAACTGAAATAGGAAAATCTTTTGATGATATCAAAATTTTAAGGACTTTTGATGAAATCGTGTTCTGGCTATTAAATGATAAAAATATTCATAATCAATACAACAAATATAAACCAAATATAAGTAATTATTAAATAAATCAATTTTACCCTTTAAAGAAAATATCATCACATAACCATTGAATAGCTCCAACCAATGCGTATGATGAATGAGGTTTCAAAAAAAATTCAAGATTTGTTGACAATGTTTCAAATGTTACTCCATTAGAATTTTCAGAATCTTTGTCAATTCCAGCAAGTGCTCGCTTGAATATTGTTGGTGCCAACTCAATTAGGATTCGAGGATTAGTTGCCCTATATAAAAAAATCACATAATAATTTGAGTAATACCATATCAATTAATTTAAATAATTATGACAAACGATATACAATACAATATAAGGTCTTTAGGAATATCTTCAATTGAAGATAACGCATTGACCCAAAAATCAACCATATCTGCCTTTTTCATAGTAAGGGATCTCTTTTCATACACCACTGATGATTGAAGGATCCACATATGACAAAAACCTTTATCATCACATAATATATCTTTAAGATTCTTATGTAACTTGAATAGAGTTAGTAAAGAATGGCAGAATAATTATAGACCAATACATTAAGTTTACCTCATATCTATCAATTATATTGACAAAGAATAGAAATATGGTGCCAAAACTTTCACAATCTTGAAGGTAAGACTCTACCATAAAATCATCATGTATAATATTATTAAACACTCATTATAATGTTAACCTGAATATTTATGATATTATAAAATATTACCAAAGTCATCGTCATCAGATCTTTCCCATGTATTACACAATTGTTCGAAAGGTTGTAAAATTTCAGAAGGATGACGATATAAATGAATAATATCAAGAAGGGCAGAAGTTTCGCTAAGAAAATGACATAATATTGACAAATGTCGTAATTCTCGATTATTACACCACTCTGTTATTAGCTTAATAAGTAAATATGAATAATAAAGTAGAATGTTTCAAACATTTATTGATAGTAAGTATACAGTATGAGTAGTTACCCTTAATATCGTTTCTATTCTTGACTCCTGATCCAAAAAATGCGTAGGAACCGCGGACACAAGGTTTTCTATCATATCACTATTAGGATCATTTAGGATGCTACCAGCGTAAGAATCGGTTTCCTAATGATATATCACTGTTATAATAAGTCAATATTAACAAATTTTCAAACAACGTTTAAAAATTTTTCTCTGAAATACCATAGAATTAAATCCACTCCATTCGAGTTCCAATATTCGTAATACAAATTCTCTTCTTAAAAGATTCTTTTTAAAGCATACTTTCAAAATATCAGCTGATATATCAGGAACCCTAGAGAATTAAAAACAATGTATATGTCATTTTGTTTATTAAAATTAATGGATTAATATTGACTGACATGATATGGACAAAAGACTCACTGAAGAAAAATATCAATTATTCCATCCACTGGCTGATTACATGCATTTAATAATCCTCGAAATCCGGACAACTGATTAAACACACATTCATGACGCCCAAACTATAATTAATTAAAAAAAATTAATAACAATTGTACATTACATTATTAAATTCGAATTTTTTTATTAAATAAAAAACCATACTTTAATTTCTTCATTTTCACCAAGTTTTGATGATTTTCTTGCTTCCAGCTTTTCGATTAATGTAGGAAGCTTAATATGAATTATTAGATTAATATTTAAATATTTAAAATGAATAACAGCAAATTATAATACTAAAGATGCGATCCGGATATTCGTTAAATTTAAATAGGAAAACGGCATCTCTATATAATAGTGAATAATTAAACAAAATTACCTTGACTAGTACAAAACTTTTCCATAAAAGAGCATGACCTCCTGAACCTGAATACTCGCCATATTCTTCTGCCAATCCAGTTAAAGCGGCCATCCATAATTCAACATAAAAGACAGGATCAAAAACTCCCTATAATTATCGATTCAGAAAAAAATTAGTGGTAAATCTTATAATTAGGAATTGAAATGCTAACCTTCACGCGTTGTAATTTTTCTAAATATTCAACAGCCGCATCATCATTCATTACTGGACGATTTTGAACCTGTATAATAATGAGCAAAATTAGAAGAATAATTTCGATAATTTCGAATTATAGCAGCGAGACATGGATAAATACCTACTAAATTATATACGAAAAACATGATAGATACGGACGGTAATGCAAGGGTGTCGCTGAATATTGCCATTATGTCGTATTATGATTGAGAGAGTAACAGATCTTTATTAACCAATTATAAGCTTATAATTGGTTAAATAAGAAAGTTCAAATGTCGGTTTAGTCAATTTGATGAGAATGAAATTAAGATTTTAGGCTTTTTTAAAAGCCAATATCATTAGGTGTAACATAAAATCACATGAACGGAAAATCAATCCTATTTCGCATCGTAACAACCACAGTTTACGTAGTAAGAATACATACTGTACATTGAAATGGAATAGTTGTAATCAATAAATTTAAATTTATATATAGTTTTCATGACTTGATATTTACAAAAGCTTATAATTTTCAAATGCTGATGCATCTGATACATTAATATTAATTATATTAGAAGTATCTATAATTATTTTTCATTTTTCATATCCACAAACTCAATAAATTATATTTTCAAGCTCTTCGGATTCTATATCTTTTTTTTTTATAATAAAAATCAATTTATATTCTAACTTTTTATTCAAACAACTTAAATATTTTGATGCTCCTCTTACCATTTTTGAATAAATTAACAAGTTTTATTCTGAAAAAATATGCATATAGAGGTCAATAGAAAACAGGCAAATTGTTTTTAGGAAGTTGTTTTAAAGTTAAATTTAAATATCTTATCCACTGTTTAATCAAATTGATCAAACTTGTTTTATTTTAATTCTATAATTATATAGATTAAAACTACAAAATTTTTATAAGTTTGGTTTAATATTTATTTAGATATTTTAATTTCAAATTTAAACACATTTTACTTAGAAAAACTTTTCTTGTTTTCTATTGACCTCTCCCCATATATATTTCTTTATTTATAACAATAATTTGTTAACTTGTCGCATTGTTTGGAAAGAAACAGGCATTGCTTTTATTACAGTGATATTTTAACATCGGTATTAAGCAATCACCGATTACATTTACAGCAATATTATCAACCAGTATTTTTATTTAAGTAGTTAAGCGCATTATTTAATACAACAAGTACAGCAATGAATACATGACCAAATAATAAGTAAGCTTAGAATTTGCCTAGTATAAAGTTTAATTACGTATGTAATTACGTATGTTAAAGATAATAATTTTTAAGATATGTATGGACTAAAACCATTGTTTCTTGTAAGATTTTCAATCTTTATAATAATTAAATTTAAGCACTTATTAATAAATGTCTCGTTACAAATTGATATGTGAAATATATATAATTTTTGTGTTTTTTTTTTTAAAAAAAATAGCATAAACTATTTACATTTAAAAATAACACTTTCAACACTTTCATTGAATCTATAACTATTAAAATAACAATTACAGAACGAAAAAAAAAACAAAATGCTATGATACAGAAAACATGAAATTTTTTGAAAAGAAACTAAATGGTCATGTGTTTTATATTCACTCCTCATCATCATCCTCATTATCATCATCCTCATTATCATCATCTTCATTATCATCATCATCCTCATCATCACCCTCATCCTCATCATCATCATCCTGACCCTCATCCTTATCCTCATCATCTTCATCCTCATCATCTTCATTTCCATCATCAATCTCAACTTCATCATCATCATCCTCATCATCTTCATCCTCGTCATCCTCATCCTCATCATCATCAATCTTAGCTTCATCCTTACTCTCAACATCCTCATCATCATCTTCACTTCCATCATCAATCTCAACTTCATTATCATCATCCTCATCATCACCTTCCTCCTCATCGTCGTCTTCATCATCATCTTCACCTTCATCCTTACCCGTAAGCGCAGTTCCGCTTACTTTGGTTTTGGTTTTGGTTACAGTAGTTATCTCATGTTTAGTAATTGTCACAGTTCTAGTAGGCTCTGGGCAACTTTCGGTGATTATTTCACGCTCAGTCACAGTCTCAGTACTCGTTGGGGCTTCCACAAAGGCAGTAGCAGTAGGTCCCGGACATGGCGGGCATCGGATGAGAGCTTGACGTTCATTCAAAGTAGCAGCACGCCTATACGCTTGCAACACGTGGCAACCAAAAATATTAATGGTTTAAAAAAATAAAAATAAAAAGAGAGAATTCTGGACAAAAGCAAAAAATAAATACTTACGAACTCTTGCAGGAACAATAATTGGCAAGATTAATAAAAGGAAAAAAACTTTAAAATACATGTCTAAAAATTTTAATTCGGAAGTTTATTATTATTATTATATTATTATTTGTAAATTTTATGGCAAGTTTTTGAGGAACCTTGAGATTTTTTTTTGAGAGTGGTTGATAACCGGTACTTTATATCATTTTTTCGAGTATAAATCTTACAACATTATTAAAAAAAAAAAACCAACAATAGTATGAATGTTTTTTGAAAATCGAGATCTTACATTATTGAAAGGGGCTATTAATCTTGATAGAGAGGGTTCATTGCATTATAATACATTATTCTAAAATCAGGTATGTATAAATATCAAGCGCGTTCAACAAAAATTTGATGCACGCAAGCAGATTCACAAGATATTCGCGTTAAATTTCGAATTAGTTAAAAATTTAATGCTACAAAATTATGATAATATATGACAAAATGATACATAAATACTAATTATAGGCTCATTACCAAAAATTCAAAATGAGAAACTTAATTTAATTCGTATTAACGTTAAAATGATTATTTAGGAGTCAATTATTATTAATCGTTATTTTCTATTACTAATATTGAGTTGAGATCCCAGGTGTGAACTTATTAGTGTTTTAGAAGATAATGCAATGTCGTGTTACACTAGCAGATATTAATTAATAAAATTAATTTATTTTAAAAATAATATACTGCTTAATATGTCATTGATAGAAATTTAGTTTAAGGTTTTACCGTCATCCTTAAAATCTAGAGACTTAGATATTACAAAAATTTCAGAACAAAAAAAGAAAAAATTGATTGTATAAATTTATTGCCATTATCGGCAATATACTTTTATTAATATAAACCAGATATACAAATTTGTGAAAAAATGACAATTAAAAATATCTGATAAACAGTAACAGGGACTTAAAGCAACTCCTCAAAATTTTTTGAATTCGAAATTTGTTTATTGCTAACAAAATTATAAATTTTATCTCGTGAAAATATATAAAAGCTTAAAAAATATTCTGTGAAATTTTTTTAAAGCATTTGTAAACTGTTAAATTGTTGTTTATATTCTTGGCACGAGTTTTTTTTAGTCACAATAAATGCAACTTTCTTCATATTTTCTGCGTAAAAAAAGATTTTTTTTTTTTTTTTTTTACAGAAAAACGTATTAATAGAGAGCACCTACATTATGCATAGGTGAATTATTTCTTTCAATTATTAATATATCCTCTTCATTGTCCGGCTTTGATATTTAATTTTTTTTTAATAAGCTTTTTTACCTTGTGAGCATTAACGAGACAATCATACTCTTATTGAAAAATTAAACTTCTTAAAGCATTATTATTATATATACAATAGTGATCAATTACAGAATTAGCGTAAGATATGAGTCCATGATTACATTTATCGTTCCCACCTATACAAACCTCCTGATTTTAATTTTACTTAAAGTTTGGATTTATTTATTGTACTTTAAATATAAATATAGCTTATTTTATTTTAATAATTATGTAACTCCTGAATTAATAATGGCAATTATTAAATGGCTATAGTGATTAATTATACATATCGATACGCAGTTAAAATTTATTAACGGTTACTAGAGTGTACAGCTTATGCAGCTTTAATGAGATGCCTCGAAATTCTAATGGAAAATTTTATCCATCATTTTTTTTGCGTCGATATCGATGTAGTTTTTTGTGGTATGATGGATTTCTATTTTCTTCATTGCCTTCCAACTTCTTTAACACAAATCAACGTATAGTAACATTATATATGGGTTGTTACCCAACAAAACCATGCTTAGAGTATATAAAAAATATATACTCTAAGCATGGTTTTGTTGGGTAACAACCCATATAGTTAATTTATTAAATATCATGATGTATAAAACGAAAGAAAAATATCATTAATAAAAAGTGAAAAGTTCTCTCGAATTTAATTTTGATTCATCTACGCATAAAACGCATATACCATATATACAGTCGACCATCAGAGTTTTAAAATACAAAGTTCTCCCAAACGATGGTAACAATAGTGCATCATTATTTTATATTCTTATTATATTTATATTTTTATTCAACTACAATTGCAAATGTTTTAAGATTATAATTATTGATCGTTAACGTTAAAGACTATAATCGGTAATGAGCACAAATCATTAATCGTTAAAGATCGTCGTTGATAATGGAATCATGTTTTAAATTTGAATTGTATTCATGTGACCAAATGAAATTTAACCTTACAGTTACAAGGCTGAGTGAAAGCTAACTATGCCTATACTTTACTAATTGTGCTCAAGCCTCACTTAAGGAGAGAAGAGAAATGATATTTATAAAAATGAAATTAGGTTATTACTGTAAAAAAAAAAAAACAATGATAATAGTAAAAAGAATAACAATAATAGCTATAACTAAATGTTAAGTTATTCCAATTAAAAACTAAAATATGAATTACCAATATTTTTTGACTTTTAGTTAAAATAGTCTTAATTCAAAGAGTAATAAGAAAAATTACACATTTATCATTTTTATTAGTGCTTCAAAATTAGTTTGGATTCTTATTTCATTATTTTTTTGTTTGTATTTTATTAGCTAATTTTAAATTACCAAATAATTTTTATAAGATATCAAATTTTAAACAACTTATAACTTATGTTTGTTAAACAACTTATAACTCATGTTATTTAAAATAATATTCTTATTCTAAATTAAAAAGAGTGATAAAAATTTTCAATCTTGAAATAGATGTTAGAAACTGTTTATAAATAATGTTTTTATTTATAAAATATTAATAAATAATTATATACACTTAAAATCATATACATTTTAATTCATCTTAAAATTATAAAAACTTCAAACTTCATTTTAATCTGATTTCATTATAATCCGTGACAATTTTTTTTTCAAACTTAAGCATAAATAACTTGGCAACAGCTTATTTAATTTTACAAACATGTAGAATTAAATAAATTGTTGTAAAATTACTTATATTTAAAGTTTAAAAAAGATTTACCAATTTGCTAGGTTTCTATTTTACCATCCATATGACTAAATCTTCTACTCACTTTATAGTGAAGATGTAGACAATATACTAACTCCCAATAATTCGTTATTCACATACAACTCAGTATTATTACAGTATTTTCTTTGCTATCCAATATATCTACATTATTTGTGATTATTTGTTGTATAAATGATTAATAAACTTATATAAATACACATCAGTATTAAGATATATGACAATATACGTAATAATAAAATTTTACCCTGCATTGATAGACTGCAACTAAAAATTTAAGAAAGATTTTAAAGTTTTCTGTTAAAAACTTGATTATCCGAGCACTATCCCAAATACCCAACCAAGTCACCCCTCTTGTAGGATAGATTGTTTCCAATAGTATCATTGGGTTTGCCTGGGAGCCTCAACTTTGGGACTTACCAGAGAGGGTAATCGTAAGCTTATATACTACCTATGCTTGTTTATTGAAAGGAATTCAAAAAAGATTGAATCTGATTGGTCATAATATGTTTAAACTCGACATAGATTGTCCAATTATATTACAAGATTAAGTATGATGCGAAATGACTAAATACTCTAGAGACAGTTGATGTTACACGATTGATCCTTCACCTGGTGCGCAACACATAAAAAAATTATTTTACAATACCAGATCAATCCACTAGTCCCACCATTTTTATTATAATAAAATGGTGCTGGATTATAATCATAACATGTACTAGCGGAATGATCTGGTATTGTAAAA